ATGCTTCCCAGGACACCGCTGTGCCACCTTCGCTTCAGGAGAATTTGAAAACATTGAAACGATTGGGATACCCAGACACTGAACAGGCGGATAAGCGGTCCCAGTTGCTTCCCAAAGTTGTGACAAGCTTGACCAAACGTTTGGGCAAACTGGATGAGCTCAAGACGGAGATGGGCTCAGCAGAAACAAATTCAACCATTTTTTTGAAGAGCCCTGTTTGCATACATTACTTGTTGGGCACCAAACCCACCAGTGGAATAGCACATATGCTGCATGCATGCTAAAAGGAAACATTGTTCTCAATCACATGCCAGCTTTTTGCCCTGGCAATATCTAAGGATGAAAGACAAGGTGTCCGACATGTATTCAAGGATGGATACACTTTCGGATTCCATGAACAACCTCCACAACCAGATTATCCTAGAAGGGCCCTCTGAGAAGTGTGAAACCTAGTAATACTTGTTTGCTACAGTATAGGTATATATATATATACCAGCAAGAATTTTGTTTGGGTCACCCAGGCGAGAGGCTGATCTCAAGAAAATTTTGGATGAAGCCAGAACCCTGTCCTGCTCCAAGACATTTGCATTAACAATACTGATCTTAAAGCTCAAACATTGGTCCCCTTTCTCCCTTGGCGCCTCTTCCTCCTCAGTCGCTTCCCTTTTACAAGGCTCCTGGAGTCATGGAGCTTGGAGCAACGTGCCAGGAGTGAGTTTGACGGCCGGTTGGTGTGGGGCCTTTTTTGGTTGATGGTCAAGAGAAGTGATGAACCCACATGTATGCATATTCTATGTCTTTTTTTACGATATCAATTAAACAAATTTTTGTGCCCACTGCGAATCAGGACGGTGATTCCCAAGAAAGCTCTTCCCAAATCGAAGCCGGCTGCGAAACCGAAGCCGAAACCGAAAGCAAAAGCGCAAGCCAGTGAGCCGGAGGAGAAAGCACCCCAGCCAAGCAGGAAAAGTAGGAGAGTCAAGTAAATTGACATGTGCTTGAGAAAAGACCCAACTGCGTCACATCAAGTCCGCTCTGCTGCAAAGGTGAAAAAAGTTTGGACTGCACAGGTTCATGAACTTCTCTGATGTCCATTGCGCAACAGAACTTGTTAGATGTCATTTTGATCTACTCGGCATATATCACAAAATACTATATTACCATAACATATATATATATAGTATGTTATATATATATATAATGTTATATATATATATTATATATATATATATATACTCCTCATTAATGTATCCATCTTAGACTCAGTTCCAGCCAGGTGAACAGCAAGCCAGCACCCGTGCTCTAGAAGCATTAGCGGAAGATGTGGCTGAGGGTGCCGGGCCCTTGGCAAACATATGTCCTTTACCTTCTGATGGAAAGCCCTCAACAAAACTCTCTCCCATCATTGGGCTTTGGGTTTTAGACAGACTTGGCCCGGCCCAGGCTCCTGCTCGTCAGCTTGGCACCATGGCCAGGGCTTGCCTGGCGGATGGTTCGAGGAATGCTGCAATGTTCAGTGCTGCCCAGCAGAAACCCAAGAATAGTGAAAGGGATGCCCACAATATCTTCAAAAGATATTGGTTGTCACTGCGGGTTCCAATTAGCTATCTTGAAGTGCCTCCCCAAGATGATGGTATATGTACTACTATCCCTTGCTACAAGGCGGGTTGTGGCTTTCGGGTGACTGATTTGTGCAAATTTGTTGAAACGGTTATGGTTGATAATGTTTACTATTCATAATCATTTTGGGGGTATTTTCATTTTGGGGTATTCTCACCTAATTTTAAAAATTTCGGAATGTAAATAACCCCCTGGGAGGTGAAAGATATGGCAAGCTTCCTCCTGGCGAAACACCCGGAGTTGTTGCTGGGTGGAGACAGTGTGGGCCCTGCTGCATACAGGCGCTGCGAAACTTTTTGGCAACGATTTCGAAACACGCAACCAGACCATGCTGTCTACAAACGCTTTGGGGCGGAAGAACTTAAAAGAGTAATCCCAGTATGCATGCATGGGGACAAAGGCCGAACGCTGAAAAAGTCCCCTATAGCAGTTTTTTCTTTCGAGGCTGTATGGGGGTTACCGGAAGGTTTGCGCCAATGTGCTGTAGAACCTGACATGAAAAGGAAAAATGAGAAATATGAGTATGGTCACCTACTAGCCCAAACATGTCCAGAACGAAGGGCTTCCCTTTCAGTGTCGCGGCCCACCCTGGACCCGCATGGGGCCTGCCCATGCACCATTGATCTTCGACGTCAAGGGGCTTCCATGGACGAAGTGCAAACGCACAACACGTTGGGCAACTTGCGCTTGGCTTTGGCCCGGGTTGATGTTAAGCTAAATACTATTCCAATGTGAGGTTTCCTAAAATCGTGGTTCCCCAAAACATCTATTTTGAGAAGACTTTCCGATTTCCATTCTGAACTATCCGTGTTGGGTACCCCCATTTTAGGACACCTTCAAAGTGCATCAGCAGTTTCACCGTCTCAAATAGTTATAATATGTTCTAAAAGCCTTCCCCAATATCTATATGGTGTTCGTTTGGGGACTGTGTAAACCCACAAAGTTACCGTGATGTAGATGTAGTTTTAACCACAACAATGAAACATATTTTTTTAAAAAAATGTAGTAAGATCCTAGATCCCAAAAGGTTTTTTTCCCGGGGAAAAAGGTGACAATGACCTGATTTGGGTTATTGGATTTACAGTTCGAAACTAAGGACATTCCTACTTATCCAGGTTTTTGATTACCGCTGTGCCCTGGTCTGTATTCTCAACAAACTCCGAGATCCTGCCGGAAGTTTTGAGGGACATAGCCAAATGCTTTTGTCTTCTTTTTGAAGAAGGGCTGGAAATAAATGGTGAAAGGTTCCACTTTGCGATGATTGGTTGCAAAGGAGATGCTGAATTTCATGTGGACGCGGGTGAATTTTTGAGATCATACCAAACTGTTGGAACTGTGAAAGACCTTGCGATGTGCCCATACTGTGACGCTTCTACAAGCAATTTCGGGGATGTTAGCGATTCTCCTTGCTGGCTAGACAGTGTTACTTGTCTGGAATTAACATCAGTTTAAACGCGTTTCTTCCAAGAAAAAATATGTTGGGGAAATAACAATACATAATGTTTGGGTATCATTTATTTGGGTGATGATACAGTCAATGTAAGGTTGGGGCATCTGTTCCTTGGGACCCTTTGTCGCCGCCACCATTGAGCCAGATTCCATTCAGCGATTCTTTTCCAGCAAACCTGTACAAAAGAGACATGTTCCACATCGTGAAGCATGGGGTGGGACGAGAGGTGGCAGCCTCGGTTTTGATCCTTCTTGCTCACCTGGCCTACTTTGATTCGGAAGATGATACCAGAAACATTGTAGATAGACTTCACCGGGGCTACATGTTTTTCAAGCTGTGGTGCTTGGCGAACAGCAAAACTCCATCTCTGAAAAATTTCACCAAAGCAAATCTTCATATGACTGGTTCGCCTTTCCCTTATCTTGGAGGAAAGGGATCGGACACTACGTTGGTGCTTATGTTTCTGCAATTTTTCATTCCTATGTGCCAGCGCGAGATGAAACATCCTGATCATCGGGATATATTGAGTGCAGTCATGCAGTTGACCGAGAGCCTTCTGAATTTTATTTCCCTGCAGTACAGCCATGACCTTTGGTTGCCTACAACATGTGCTGAGTTCATGTATCTAGAGGGTCTGGTGGCGCTGCGCGCATGCAACTATGCTGCCCAACATGGGATGGATATAGGAAAACCTTTGTTTGGCCTAAGGCCAAAGTTCCATTCTCTGGCGGAAACCGTTTTTGAAACGAAAATGTGTGTGGCCAATGGTCATCCTTACATTTTGACGCCGCTCGTGTTTTCATGCGAGGGCAATGAAGATTTCATTGGACGAGTGGCAAGAATATCTCGGCGTGTTAGCAGTAGAACTTGTACGCTGCGCACATTGCAGCGATACGGTGTGGCTTTCCAATCCAAATTGCGTCGACTTAAAAAAGTCAAGAAGCTCAACCTCTACACAAAGTGAAAAGACTGTACAAGGATTTGTGGCATCACCTGTGTTCCTTTTTGTTGGGACTATTTCGGACTGGAACATGTGGAAGGAGCTTTGTTACTTTTTTTGGGATATGTACCCAAAATCAGGTTATTGTCACCTTTTTCCCCGGAAAAAACCTTTGTTACTAAAATTTCGCAACGTTGTGGATCTAGGATTCTATAAATTATGATGATGCTTGAAGATAATATTGAAACCAGGAAAATTTGTACTTGATAGCAAACCATATGGTCATCACCATAGATGTTTCTCTAAAGCAATCCGTTGATAGATTATCATATAAATTGCCCATATTAATCCCTCATTAACTATATTGATATATGGGAGCGTCCTAAAATATTGCTACCCCAAACCATTGGTTTTCCCATTGATAACAAAACCAATTTTGGATGATTTGGGGGCCCCCCATTTTAGGAAACCCCAAAGTTTAATATCTACCACCAACCCTTGTTATATAATGTTCCAGTTCTGAACCAACTTGCTACAACGATGTCGCACCACCATCGAATTCTGTCCTAACCTCATGAGATATCCATATGTTTGGTAACTTCTCTAGTTTCACCAAGTTTATCCTTAATTATCCAGTCTGGTTCATCAAAACAAACATCACTTAGATATCTATTCATATGTTTATTCAGCTTGACTGCATCTCCATACAATGTGGTGCCCCCTAGTTCTAAATTGGTTTACAAACCCCATTAACTAGTTCGTTATAGGTACCATAAACTATAGTTATTGGAGCTATGTGCACCAACTTACCCTCTGGTAAATAAACATAGACCCTGAAAATCACCATTTTTTAATGGAAACTAGTCTTCCAACCCCTATCTGCCAGGGTCTATGTTAATTTACCAGAGGGTAACTATCGTTTGGGGGCACCACTTTGTAGCATGTCTCCATAGGAGCAACTTGGCTCTACCGCCGCCCCCGCTTCCACAGGTCACCATGGATTCCATTGCCTCCATCTATGTGGCTCGACGTCGGGAAGCTGGTGTTCAACCAGATTTGTTTCCACCGTGATTAACATACCCGTACAGTTGTGTATATATATATATATATATAAATACATATATATGTATGTGTATATATATATATACATACACACACATATATATATATATATATGCGTGTTAATCTAGATTAGTGTGGTTAATACTAGTGGTACTTGATGACAATTCATATCGATTAATATCCCCATCCCACATTACTAGAATTATTAGATGTCCAAGATGTGGCCCAAAAAATAAATATATGGCCCAGCAATCAAAAACCAGGAGGTGTTTGATTTGTCGCAGGTAATTTTTTTCTGAGTACACCTTGGTTGGGTGTAGTTTGTATCATGAGAGTAGTGGGTAGTGGGTCAATTTGCCATAGAGGGGGCACCTTCGGCACCTACCCATTCAATTCTAGTCCTCTAGAGTCCAGGTGATATATATATATATATACATATATAAATATATCTTTATATTTATATATTTATATATAGATATGTAGTATATATATATATATAATAGATTAATATATCCAAGGCTAATATAGATTAGTCACATCCCTGAGTCAACCCCCCCCGTTCGAAATCCTATCCCAGTGATTTCATCCACAACTTATGCGAAAAAAACACGGAGTTTCCCCTGAAGAGTCCCGAAAAAAAAAGGTCTAAATCCCATTCAATCCACCATGCTTCCCATAAACTTTCAACTGTTTTTTCGAAAAATCCAATTAAATACAATTAAATCCCATAAATACCCGGTTAAATATTAAATCTCATTAAATCTCATTAGCCCATCCGGAGAGTGCCACATCCCATTGAGCAAAATCACGCTGAGATTCCGCTGATCAAGAAGAAACCCGAACTCAGTTCTTACTTTATCGCCTTGGTCATCATTGCCGCTTGGACCACCGGATACCACCGGGGGTCGCCATGGTTGGTTTTAGTAGCCACCATGGTTGGTTTACCCGGTTTACCCCCAAAAAAAAAGGTTGAATGGTGTCGGAGAAATCTGGTGCCTTTGTATGGCTGTGAATGGTGGGATTTCATTCCCTGGGATTTCATTCACTGAGAGAATTGATGGATAGATATATATATATGTATATATATATATATGTATATATATATGTATATATATATATGTATATATATATATGTATATATATACATATATATATATGTATATATTTTATATGTATATATATAAATATAAATATATATATACCCTGCCGTAAACCTTCAAGTGTGGAGTACCCACCATGTAGATCATTTTTCTAGGGAAAACGTGAGTGTTCTACATCTTAGTTTACCCCAAGGTATCAGTTGGTGGTGGAAATCCTTGTGCAATGGACCCATTGTTGCGTTTTTTTCCGCAGGCGTGTTATTTCATGCCTGCAACCTGGTAACTGGGTACATTGCTGCTATATGATTTCGTTTAATTCTGGGTTTACCACGTTTGACTACATTGAGCAAACAAAAGTCAACAGAAATACAACACATGGAGTTGTGAATCATATTCAATCATCAATTTTCCGGAAGAGTCAAAACTGGGGATGCTGCAGTGGGAATTGCTGGTAGTGCCTCATTCATTGAGAGTCCGAGCGGGGGCCAAGTTCGTTCCCCATGAAGATCAAGGCTTAACTCTGCAAACATCAAGATTGGGATGTACAGTGATGTACATTAAACCATCATTGTGGTGGCTAACTAGGCTTAACTAACATGAATATGTATACATTAATGTATACATTAACATACATTAACATACATTAACCCAAAATGGTGGCCAACTAACTAGACATAACTAGACCACTACTGAATGGTCGTCCCGCCTCATTTCCGTCCCCATCCCTAGCATCCCTAGCTATGGTGGCAATCCCGACCATCCCAGAAGGCGAAGTAGAATATCATGAAAGATGTTCATCATGAATACCATCATGAATAATTCGTTAACCATCATGAATACCATCATCAAATTCATGATGAAATATCATAAACGCCATTGTTTTCTGGTTGATTTTGAGGTGTCCATCGCTTTGATGAACCTCGTGACGGCTGTCTTGGTCGAGGGCGCCTTGGACCACGCCCGCCAGGAAAAAGAGACGCTCGGTGTCATTCGCGGGGGGCCCCTGGCTGTTTGATGGGACAATCATATATGGCTATGGATCAATACCTATTAATACCATTTTTAGGGGGATGAACATCCATAATGAAAATGTCATGCAATCCATGTCAACCAGCTGATACCGTTTGCACCTTGTGGCTTGGCTTAAGGGGCCCTGAGAGCGTTGTTACCTTTTCGCATTGTGACCGATGGATGGGTGAAACATTGCAGCATTGAGTCCGTGCATTTGCCATTGCACTTTGTGTGTTTCATCTGACTCCGATTAGCTGGCACCGGAGCTTGCGTTGTCATGTTCTTCGACGACAACGGCGACCTGGTCGTTGATCAGTCAGATCATGCTCCTTGGCATTTCGACGTTGAACATGACTCGATCCAGGACGATACCTTGTCAGATTCACCAACGAATTCTGTTCAGTGGCGTTGCTTGGTTTGTGATTCAGCGGCTTATGCTTGGTTGAGCAACAGTTGGGTTTGCAATCAATGTGGGTCAAACAAGTTTTATCAGACGAATAATCCTGCAACACGTGAAACAGCTGATGGTGTTTGGACATACATGCCATATGGTTCCCATGTTCCTCCTCCACCTGACGGTCATCAAGCGTCCACCTCTGCCAACCGTCGACGACGACGACGACGACGAAAGCATGGAGACTCTGGACCTGGACCGGGCGGTGATGCTTGGAGTGAGCGCGGCGAGGAAGAGACTCCAACGGAAGATCCGTCTGTGATCCCATCATGGCATTCTGACCACCATGGATCAGTTGACCGAGTTGCAAGGACATCACCAACGACTGTGACCAATCAACGGCATGCCCGCAAGATCTCATCATCTGCTGATGACGACTCCACCATCAAGAAGTTGAAGGAAGTCTTGAACAAGGATGACAATGATGAGCCTTGGGATGACAGAAAAGGTCCCTCTAAGGGCATCCGTTGGCGCGGCGGCACTGCCCCGTCCCCGCCTCAGTGGAAATATGATGCTACAGACTTGCGTGCATACAATAAGTTCTGCAAGAAGGTTGAAATCTGGATGCTACAGGTTGCACCTTACCTGAGCAAGCGTGAAGCAGCACTCAGCTTGTACAATGCGTTGCAGGGCGAGGCTGAGCAAGAGCTTGAGCACACCCCTGTCAGTGAGATTTACACTGACGATGGTGTTCAGGTGATTCTGGAAGCCTTGAAGGCACCAATGGAGCAGAAGGCCATCTATCAGAAACGTCGCTACCTCAATGACTTTGAGCACATCCGACGATACCAAGGAGAGACTATGCGCTCCTTTGTGAATCGGTTTCGCCGAGTGCAGCGCAGTTTGCGTTCAGTCGGCATCAACATTGAGGCAGCCTATGACAATGAGAGCATGGGTTCACGACTCTTGGATCGCAGTGGCTTGACACATGAGCAGCAGCGTATGATTTTGGTTGCAACATCACAGTCTTTGCTGTTTGAATCTGTGGCTGAAGCACTGACATTGCAGTTTCCAGAGTTTCGTGGCGCTCCTCCAATTTCTGGTGGAAAAGATGGTCAGGGAAAAGGCAAGAACAAGTCTATGGGTAGCACTTCATCATCCAGTATGCCATCCTCATCGACCTCCTCTACTGCCTCCTCTCGGCAGAGCTCTGTTTCGAGCGTGCGTGGAGCTCCAACACGTAGAGCCTTCGTTGCAGCTCACGATGCTGGAGATGATCAACAAGAAGATGATGAGTTCCTCGACACCATTGAGGAAGAATTCGAAGATGATCAGAATGAGCCCAATGACGATCAAGATGATTGTGAAGAAGATGATGGATTTGAAGATGACGGTGAAGGCGCGAATGACCTTCAAGAGCTGGCATCCGTCTTGACTGTGACGGCAAAGAAGTTGAACAACTTGACCCTTGGTCGAAAGTTCTTTACTGCAAAGCAGAAGGGCAACTCCAAGGGCAAAGGTGGCTCGACCAGACTGACTCCTGAGGAGTCCAAGAAGGTCACTCACTGCACTGCTTGTGGAGCTCGTGGACATTGGTACAAAGACCAAGAATGTCCGATGAACAAGGGCAAAGGATCCTCTTCGTCGCCAAAGCCGATCGAGAAAAAGGGTCCGCAGCCAGCCTTCAAGAAGCCCCACAGTGTCAACTTCATCCACCATGAGCATGGCGTTGTCGATGTGTATGACAACCCTTCCTACGGCCAGTCATTTGACGTCAACATGGTTTTGGTTCCATCCCCTGGTATCCCATATGTGGTCAATGAAGTCAAGTTTGTTGGATCAGAGACCTTTGCCGGCCTCATTGTTTTGGACTCTGGATGTCAAAGAACTTGCTGTGGCAAGGCTTGGTTTGCAGCCCACGAGCAACTACTCCACGAACGTGGTCTTCAGGCAGTTCGGATCCCCATCAGTGAAAGTTTCAAGTTTGGAAAGGGCGCACCATCAACTTCAACCACAAGAGTGTATCTTCCATCAGCTATTTCTGGAACATCGTTTTTGTTAGGAGCAGCTTTGTTGGAAGAAGACATTCCTTTCCTTGGATCCAATTCATTATTTACAAGTTTGGGGGCCCACCTGCACTTCAAGAATGATCGCATGGAGTTTGACGTTTTAGGAGTTTCAGTTGAAGTTCAGCGTTTTGCCGGTCACATGGTCATTAACATCCTTGATTTCATTCATGAACAACCTGCACATGATCCTGTTTGGCAATCATTGGCAGATGAGTCCATGTGGCACGACCCAAATCCTGAGTTTATGTCTTGCATGGAGCCCGCGACTTCTCAAGCGACTTTTGCGGATCAACTTGATCGACATGCACCAGGCACCTCCTCCATGGTTGGTCTCATGGCAGCGTGTGGTGAGCCGCCTCAAGAACCTCATGATGATGGCGCTTCGCACCATCTTGCAGTTGGTCAACCTCGGCATCATGCCTCGCTCAGCACTCCAGGTGTTTCCTCCGGAAATCCATGTGCGACCATCGACAACAACATGCGAGCATCTTCAGTGCCGAAGGTACGGCAACCCACACGGTCGGTATGCACAATGCCTGATCTGCGAGACCAAGTGGAAGTGGAATCCAACAGAGGAACTGTGGGTTCAACATGGCCAGCGCGCGTCTTCCTCGCGCTCGCAACCATTGCCTCCACCACGTTCGGCAACCATAGCCACTTCGTTGGGAGCACCCAAGTCCAAGTCCCGAGCCACGGCCAAGATTCGTCCCCAACCAGAGCGGCGTTCTCCACCAACTATAAGGCCAAGGCAGTCAGAGAGCTGGACAACCTTCGACCCTACGGTGATGGCTTTGGACCATTTGACGGAGGACCAGCGCTACGAGGTGTGGCAGATTGTCCATCAGGACAGTCCCTTGGATGGCCCTCACAACACCATGGCGGAGCACATCTTCCACAACGAGGAGACCTTCAGAGAGGCCAGAGAGGCCTTGGAAAGGACAGCCGACGAAGCTCGTTGGACCCGCCTGATGGAGCTGGGCGTGTTGACCAATCCGGACGACCCAATCTACGACTGGGACAGCGTGGAGCCGGAGGTGTGGTCATGAAGACAGGAACTATGAAGCAGCTTCGAGGTCAATGGCTAAGATCTTCAAAGCTGTTGCAGAAAGAACATGATGTATACCATGCGGCCCATGACAGGCTGAATCGAATCCGCAAAGCAGATTTGTGGGAGCTGTTTGCAGGTGAAGCACAATGTTCTTACTTGGCCAATGAGTACTACATGAATGCTCTTCAACCATGGGACTTAATCTATGGCCAAGACTTGATGAAGCGTTCTTTGCAGACCGAAGCCCATGCAGTCCTTCACAAGTTCAGACCAGCTTTGATCTTGATGGGCCTGGACTGCAGCCATCGTCTGGAGGACTGGGAGTGGCCTCAATCACTTCAACATCCTCTTTTGAAGTTGGCAGCCTCACTTGCAAAACAACAGCATGCTGGACACCGTTTCTTTTTGATTCAGAACTCTCAAAACAGTGAACTTTGGGAACAGCCTGAGATCAAAGACCTTGGACGCCTTCCAGGTGTTTGGAAAGCCACTTGCCTAGCCGGAGCTTTTCATGCACAGGTCCAAGGCAAACCAATACGAAAACCATTCACCTTCCTGGGCAACCTTCCTGGCCTTGAGCAGGCCCTCCAGCGCACGATGACCAAGGAAGAGCTGGACATGTGCGTCCCCATTCAAGGATCTATGACCAAACCTTCTCAGGCATATCCAGAAGAGCTTTGCAGAACCATTCTAGCAGCGCTCTATGAGGAACTACATCGGCGACAACCACATCGCTTTTGTGTATGCCTCAGTTCTCCTTTTGAAGCTCTACCAGTGCAACAACCAACTGAGGATCTCTCTCAATGGGACCCTGTTGTTGACTATGTGGAGAAGAGCTTCGAGAGAACTGCGAAAAGACCTTACAACATCGACCCCAAGAGCGACATGGGACAGACCATCCAAGGTCTGTTTCGCATCGATGCCATACGCATCCAAGTTGTGTCATCACCAACTACCAGAAGAATCCCTAACAATGTGGATGAGTACTTCACCAGAGCCTCATTCTTGTGCTTCAACGACGACACCAGAGCGGTGGAAGTGGAGGATCTTGATCAAGTCCGCTTTCCACGGCAACGTTTTGACAAACCTGTGAGACTTGCGGTGTTTGCCTATGGACACCGAAGACCGCTGGACCTTGAAAGAGTAGATCCATCCAGCCAACCATCTACTTCAACACCAACCGTGGTTCCCAACTTGCCCACGGACATTGACTTCCCAGGCCTTACTTCTGGGATCAGACAGGAGATCAAGGCCTCAGTGGCGCGTTTGCACCTCAACATGGGACATCCATCACGCGAGGAGCTTTGCAGACTCCTTGCCTATGAGGGTCATGTTCCAGATGAAGTATATGAATGCGCAAGAAAGCTCAGATGCGCAACTTGCCAGCGTTTGAAACCTCCTCAAGCACCAAGACCATCAACAACTCCGAAGTTATTGAACGGCCAGTTCAATG